CACAAAAGGGAAGATAATTAATTAATTCAATTTATGTTCTAAAGGGAGTACTGACTAGCAAACAAGAATTTAAGGGAATAAGTAATTGTATATTAAAATAAGAGTGATGCCGGAAGGGTGAAAATATACCGTTAAGGAGTTAGACCAAACGAATATTACTTAACATAACTATATTACATAGACATACAATATATATACATACAACAATCCCTACAAAATAGTTATTTCCTACCAAACAGGAGATTCCTTACCACCAGGATCCCTTCCTAGGCCTAACTAAACGTGTCACTAACACCTTATACCTCTAGGGCATTGCAGAAGACTGGACAAAGCACTAGACAAGGGTCAAGGCTAGAGAAAGAATGGACACGTCTACCTTATGCCACGGTTTTTCGCAACTGGGGAAGCGTGGGGCACGCCGTGGAGGAGAGCGTCTCATATCACGTGATCCAGGACATTGCTGGATAGTTTATATAATTAATTAATACTACTCTTGATTTGACTGAACAGAGTAAGACAATGATGCATATTAATAACATACATAAATATACAATTAACCTAAGTAACTAAGAACAATAATAATATAATAAGTATAATTAACAAGTTAATAGCTTGTGTGAAATGTAGGCGTGAACATATGCCTCACGCTATGCGAGTTCCCGAGCGCTCAGGCACGTGACAGTGGCCAGTCTATATTGTTATTTTTTCCATTAGTTTATGTATTTGAATTTGGCTTAATTTTTCCAGTCTATATTACTCGTAAAATACAAGATCTTACTTAACAATATTGTAATGTTAACAGTACCGTTATGAAGCAAGTTTGTTGATCGTTGCTATAAATAAAAGATTAAACGTCTAATTATAATACCGTACTGTAATAGCTAGTACAGTACAGTATATAATTTTGATTTTGATCTAATATGTTTGTGCTTAAAAATTTGGTGTATGTTTTAAACCAAACTTATCAGTGATTGACTCAAAATTAGTTTTTTAATGAATTTGTAAAAACTTGGATGCAATATGCATCATTCTTATGCTAGCATAAGTATTTTGGGTGATGAAATATATGTTATCTGTATCAGAGTGTTAGTAAAAGAAAAGCCTGGGCACCATAGATGACGAATTGTTTTATGAGGAACATACTGTACTGTACTGTACTGTACTATGCTGTACTATGCTGTACTGTGTTATACTGTACTATACTGTACTGTACTGTACTGTACTATGCTGTACTATGCTGTACTGTGTTATACTGTACTATACTGTACTGTACTGTACTGTACTTATGCTGTACTATGCTGTACTGTGTTATACTGTACTATACTGTACTGTACTGTACTGTACTGTACTATGCTGTACTGTGTTATACTGTACTATACTATACTGTACTGTACTGTACTATGCTGTACTATGCTGTACTGTGTTATACTGTACTATACTGTACTGTACTGTACTGTACTTATGCTGTACTAAACTGTACTGTGTTATACTGTACTATACTGTACTGTATTGTACTGTTCTGTACTGTACTGTATTATACTGTACTGTACTGTACTCTGCTGTACTGTACTGTACTATGCTGTACTGTACTGTGCTGTACTGTACTGTACTTTACTGTACTATGCTGTACTGTACAGTACTGTACTGTACTGTACTGAACTATGCTGTATGCTGTACAGTACTGTACTGTACTATACTATACTATAATGTACTGTACTGTACTATGCTGTACTGTACTGTGATGTACTGTACTGTGATGTACTGTACTATACTGTACTGTACTATACTGTACTATGCTGTACTGTACTGTACTGTACCATGCTGTACTGTACTGTACTGTACTATGCTGTACTGTACTTTACTGTACTATGCTGTACTGTACTGTACTATACTGTATTGTACTGTACTGTACTATGCTGTACTGTACTATGCTGTACTCTACTGTACTCTACTGTACTCTACTGTACTGTACTGTACTGTACTATACTATACTATACTATACTATGCTGTACTGTACTGTGCTGTACTGTACTATGCTGTACTGTACTATGCTGTACTGTACTAAACTGTACTGTGTTATACTGTACTGTACTATACTCTTCTGTACTATACTCTTCTGTACTATACTGTATTTTTTTTTATTTTTTTTTATTTATTTATTTATTGGGCACCCCCCTACATCCTTGTGTAAGGTGAAGCGCAGAAGCGCTTACAGCCTTTATGTCTCATGAGTTAAGGGCGTTGAAGCCTGAAGTCAAGGGCGTTGAAGCTTGAAGAGTCAGTGGTTTATGTCATCAAGTTATTGGAAGCTCCAACAACTTTCCCTGAATACGATTTTGCAACTTTCGACTTACACCAGGTACCTACTTTACTGCTAGGTGAACAGGGACTAATGGGGGCTAGAAAGTAAGTCCAAACAACTTCCACCAGCCCGGGAATCGAACCCGTGACATCTCGCTTGCGAGGCAAGAACGATACTGCTTCTACCACCGGTCCCCCTATACTGTACTGTACTGTGCTGTACTGTACTGTACTGTACTGTACTGTGCTGTACTGTACTGTACTGTACTGTACTGTGCTGTACTGTGCAGTACTGTACTGTGCTGTACTGTTCTGTACTGTGCAGTACTGTGCTGTACTGTACTGTACTGTACTGTACTGTACTGTACTGTACACAATGAAGTAAATGATGTAAACCACTTGATAGATCTGCTCCAGTAAACATATCTTGCTGTGCTGGAAGAAAATTCATTTTTGGTGACCATAGAACTCTGCAGATACCTCAAACTGGGTGGTACCAAAGTTGCCAAAAATCATTAAAATGTTTACAAAATATAAAACTTTGATACTCAATCCCTTGGTTGGCACAGGATTATATACTTTACTGCAGTGTTAGTTACAAAGGATGTTTGCTTGTTCCTCTTGCTACAGATTAGTGAAGATAGGTTGACTTGTCTTTTAATCTGTACAGTGTAGATTTTTTAATTCTTAATCATTGATATTTCTCCTAGAGGATCAATCCATATGAAATCATCACGCCTAAAATCCGCGATCTTCTCGGGTCTGGTAATGACCACGGGATGTACAGCACTTGATAAGGGAACATCTTGGGGGGGGGGGGAAGTCCACATTTTTATTTTACTGTATCTAATTAATGGGATGCAACTAATTAGACTTTCTAATTTTACACACGGTTATGGTAAGCGACTCTTCTTTAGAATATTGCCATTTTTTATTTACTGTACACTCAACACAGATGATAGCAGTTTGAGCTTTTCCCCATCTAGTTATTATATGTCTTATTTGTGTCACTTATGTTACTTGTATATTATTTGTAATTCGAAACCCATTCCCCAAATATGTAACTGTATATTTTCAGCCTTCTGGCTGCCAAGCTCTTTCAATAAACCGTTAATTATTATTTATTATTATTATATTGGTGAGATATTAAAGCATTAGAAGCTCTGTTAAAGTATTGTAACCTCGGAGGTGTACAAGAAGGGCCGCTACCTGACAGATGTATTTTTGTTTATTGTGTAAACTAAAAAATATTTCAAAATCCACAAAATTTTGTTTTCTTAATTTTTGTTGTTGTAGAATTGTTCAAATAAGAGCAATGATCTGTACTTATGTTTTCTAGGAATGTTTGTAGAATAATTTAAAATTTTTGGTCATAGGAAAATTATGAAATATACTGTACGTATATTGAAGTTGTAGCCTGGTCTCAAGGGAGTGTTTTGGTACAACGGAAAATGATGCCATAGGGCGATTGTAGTGGTGATTATGAGAAAAGAAAGAACATTACTTTACACACCACAACAAAGACTAATATTCACAGAGAAACACTGAGAAAGCTGATAGAAGCAGTTAGAAACACAGCAGTACAAACACTCAAGCACTGGGAAACATTTTTTTTAACAGCTGTTTACATGGGGATCACTGACAAGCTTCTAGTGTAATCACATGATAACTGGGTCTAAAGGACAGTTTGGGTAAAACTATCCTATGGTTTTTCCTACTTTTATTTGCTTAACACCACACAATTTGATTCAACTCAGAGAGAAACAGTACACTAAGTCACCCAGGATAACTAGACCATTTGGCTTTGGGTTTTGCCTGAAGAAAAAAAATCGGAATCAGTCCTCCATTTTTTCATTTGAATAAAATAGTTATGAAAAATTGTGTCATTCCATCACTTCTCAATATTTTCAGAAATTTTTTTTTCCTTAAGTGAGAACCTGTCTAGCTGTTCACTTCTGGTTTGTGAGAAAACAAAATTTGGCAAAGAAAACGTGTTTGTATTTTCACTTTCATCTGTTTTTGGGTGGTAAACTGATTGTACTCAAAGCCTAGTTTTGGTGAAAAATATGAACTGAATTTTGGTTTCTCTGAGAGTACAGTACAGTACATTACAATACAGTACAGTACAGTACAGTACAGTACATTACAATACAGTACAGTACAGTACCAGCATAATTGTGCAGAGGGATGTTGCATCTGGGTTGACACATCACTCACCTTGTGTCTTAAGGGTCAGTGGTTTGTGTGTGTGTCAGTGTCAGCCACACTGCCTCATTTAAGGTGTGCAGTACTGTACTCCATTACAGCCTTTTCATTTTTTCATGAGATGATGTATGAAGTGAAAGCCATTTGATCTATACAACAGTACAATTTATTATGAAAATGCATCAAGTTTACAGAAGGTCTTGAGGAACACTAGTTGTAATAACATGGATTTACTTGGATACAGAATAGTATACAATTTCCAATAATTGGTCCCTCTCAGGAGATTTATGGAGTAAACTATAACACATAATGCAATCATAGCTTATTACTCTTATGAGAGAGAGATGAGAATTCTTATATTTTTTCCAGAACATAAAGTGTACTGTAGTGCTTCCCATAAGAGTATTACAGGTATGTATAATAATATATAAAATTGTATTGATAATTCACAATTTGACTATACAATATACATAATGTATACATATCCTTTGCAGTGCAAAACAGAGTACAAGATTCCAGGCCTGTATGTAATAGACAGCATAGTGCGACAGAGCCGACACCAATTTGGCATTGAAAAAGACGTATTTGCTCCCAGATTTGCCAAGAACATCCTTGTAACTTTTTTCTACTTGTTCAAGTGCCCTCAGGAGGATAAGGTTAGTACTTAATATTATTATGATTTATGTAAAATAGTTTTGGGTATGTTAGACATTACCTAGTACAGGACAATAAAGTGCAGTAGAGTACTGTACAATAAAGTGCAGTAGAGTACTGTACTGTACAGTGCTGTACAGTACAATAAAGTACAGTGCAGTACAGTACAATAAAGTACAGTAGAGTACTGTACAGTACAATAAAGTGCAGTAGAGTACTGTACTGTACAGTAAAGTACCATGCAGTACAGTACCATGGAGTACAGTACAACAAAGTACAGTTTAGTACAATAAAGTACAGTGCAGTACAGTACAATAAAGTACAGTACAGTGCAGTACAGTACAATAAAGTGCAGTAGAGTACTGTACTGTACAGTGCTGTACAGTACAGTAAAGTACCATACAGTACAGTACAGTAAAGTACCATACAGTACAGTACAATATCATAAAGTACACTACAATAAAGTACAGTACAGTACAGTACAATACAATAAAGTACAGTGCAATAGAGTACTGTACAGTACAGTAAAGTACCATGCAGTACAGTACCATGGAGTACAGTACAACAAAGTACAGTTTAGTACAATAAAGTACAGTACAGTGTAGTACAGTACAGTACAATAAAGTACAGTACAGTGTAGTACAGTACAGTACAATAAAGTACAGTACAATAGAGTACAGTACAATACAGTACAGTACAATAAAGTACAGTACAATACAATAAAGTACAGTACAGTGTAGTACAGTACAGTACAATAAAGTACAGTACAATAGAGTACAATACAGTACAGTACAGTACAGTAGAATACTGCACTGTACAGTACAATAAAGTACCATGCAGTACAGTACTGTACAGTACTGTATAGTACAGTACCATACAGTACAGTAAATTACAGTGCAGTTCAGTAAAATAGAGTACAGTACAGCAAAGTACAGTACCACAGTACAATACAGTACAGTTCCATACAGTACAGTAAAGTACAGGTACAATAAAGTACAGTACAGTGCAGTAGAATACTGTACTGTACAGTAAAGTACCATACAGTACAGTACTGTACAGTCTTTACTGTACAGTACTGTATAGTACAGTACCATACAGTACAGTAAATTACAGTGCAGTTCAGTAAAGTAAAGTACAGTACAGCAAAATACAGTACCATACAGTACAATACAGTACAGTAAAGTACAGTACAGGTACAATACAGTACAGTACAGTGTAGTACAGTACAATAAAGAACAGTACAGTGCAGCAAAGTTCTGTACAGTAAAGTACAGTACAGTGCAGTAGAGTACTGTACTGTGCTGTACAGTACAGTAAAGTACCATGCAGTACACTACAACAAAGTAAAGTACAGTACAATAAAGTTCAATACAGTACAGTACAATAAAGAACAGTACAGTGTAGTACAGTACAATAAAGTACAGTACAGTGTAGTACAGTACAATAAAGTAAAGTACAGTGAAGTACAGTACAATAAAGTACAGTACAGTGTAGTACAGTACAATAAAGTACAGTACAGTGTAGTACAGTACAATAAAGTACAGTACAGTGTAGTACAGTACAATAAAGTACAGTACAGTGTAGTACAGTACAATAAAGTACAGTACAGTGTAGTACAGTACAATAAAGTGCAGTAGAGTACAGTGCAATAGAGTACTGTTCTGTACAGTACAGTACAGTATCATACAGTTAAAACTGAACAGTACCATACAGAACAGTACTGTACAGTAATGTACAGTACAGTTCAGTAATTTACAGTAGTACCCCGCTTAACGCGGTCAATTGAACCCACAGGGTACCGCGTTAAGTGAAAACCGCGTTAAGTGAACAACAGAACATATGGGATTAATTCCAATGGAGACTGGCCCGACCCCCAAACTCCACTTTTTGACGACACACAACTATGTTGTAGTAAAAATATTATCTTAACTTTATGATGGTATGCACACACAATTAATAATTAAGAGAAATATCAATAATATTAGGGTTTTTAACACTTGCATTAGTAGAAAAGATGGCTGGGCACACGGGATGGGGGTTGGTTCCGAGGCAGAGGGCAGATTATTGGCCCTCACCTGTATCACGATCAATTGTATCACTATCCACCACAGAGGCTTGCAGGGCCTCTTTGTCAACCCTCAAAGGCCATATAAGTCCATATCCTCACTATAATTATCACTATCACTGACTTCGGGCTGTGGTGGGTGTGGTGAAGAACTCGATAATGTTTTGATGATCACACCTTGAAAGATTGCATTCACGCCGCTTCGCGCCAAGATATGAGTAGATGAACCGCTATGAAAGTTCGGTTCTGGCGAGGCAGCAATCACAGATATGAGAAATCGCTATACAACTGTACAGTACAGTACCATGCAGTACAGTATAGTACAGTAAAGTATAGTACAGTAAATTACAGTAAAGTAAAGTACAGTACAATACAGTACTGTACAGCAGTAGTACAGTACTGTACAGTACAGTGCAGTACAGTACAATAAAGTACAGTGCAGTGCAGTACTGTACTGTTCAGTAGTACTGTACAGTACAGAAAGTACAGTACTGAACAGTTCAGTAAAGTAAAATTCTGTACAGTACAGTGCAATATTATATATTTGAAGGCCATATCACTGTCTGGATGGATGCATAATAGGAGCAAGAGTTTTTGTTTTTTAATTCACAAATGTACTACAGTGTGTGTGTGTGTGTGTATATATATACAGTATATATATATATATATATATATATATATATATATATATATATATATATATATATATATATATATATATATATATATATATATATATATATATATATATATATATATATATATATATATATATATATATATATATATATATATATATATATATATATATATATATATATATATATTGATAAAATTGTTCCAAGTCCTGTCTTCCAAGTAGACTAAGAAATCTGGACAATCACATTCTCTGAGTTGATAAGGTGTTACAGATTCCCCTTATCAAGAGTTCAAGTGATAGTGTAAAATTAGCCTTCAAGCACAGTGCTCAGTGTAAATACTTATGCAAAAACAGTGTTTGTGTTGATAAGTGGCACACCATTCGTGATTTTATATCAACTTCTAGTGCGAACTGACAAAGCCCAAAAAAAGAAGGTTAAATGCCAAATTAAATGCTCTGTTTGACGAGAGTTACTGGACCATATTGAGGATCCAAATTTGTTCATAAACTTATCATCTTATGATCTACAGACAAATGAGAAACTGTTCTTGGTTTTGGTAGGAAGTTTTCTATCACTCAACGGTGCGTTAATCCTGGCTATCATTAAGCAGCAGTTTAATCAACCTGAAAAAGAATAGTCGCCTGATGTTACAATGAAGATATTTCCATAGCTAAAGGTTGTATACATAATGTTTTAAATAAGAAATTTGCTTCAAACATTCCAAAAAGATTTGAAAACAGCCTTGATAAACTTGAAAAGAAATAAGAATATCCATATTACTAAGGCTGATAAGTCTAATGCTATTGTTATCTTGGATAAAAAGTGACTACAATGATAAGATGAATTCATTACTTAGTGATGAAAGCACGTGACAGAGCCATTTAAAGATCCCTGGAAAATATTAATAAGTTATCTAATCTCCAAAATGAAGATGTTATTGAAAAGAACCCCGATCTCACTAAAACAGCTCTCTCAAATCAATCCTAATTTTACCTTATATGTATGGATTGATCAAAACAATACGTTTTAATAATCCATTACGCCCCATCGTGAGTTCTGTGGGTTCTGTTACTACAAATATCCAAGTGGCTGGTAAAGATGCTATCATCCTCTATGAAGCCAAATATTCAATTCCACATATACGTTAATAATAGCAGTGATTTAATTGATAAAACTCAAGAACACACAACGAATCTTGCTAATTAATAAGTTTTGATGTAAATTCACTGTTCACTAGAGTACCTGTGAAAGACTTATCATTTTTAAAGATAAATTACAACTGCTAGATTTAATCATTGAACATGATAATTTTCCTGAAATTGATAGAGTTATGCGTGAACTGACAATGTGTTTAGAGCAAATGGGAAGTTCTATGCTAAATATTTGGGCATCAGCATGGGTAATTGTCTTTCTGCCTTCTAGCCTGTATTTATATGGAGTTTTTTGAGTCTAGATTACTACCTAATATAGTGGGATTTATTCCTCCACAGTATAGATATGTAGATGATAAGTTCTTTTGTCTTTGGCCCAAAACAGTGACCCATTGGAATTTTTTAGACAAGCTTAATAATATTAATTCCTAGTATCACATTCAAAATTGAAAGAGAAATAATGAATCCCTTCCATTTCTTGATATGCTTACTGGCGAGAAATGGCCAAAACTACAAATTTAAGGTATATAGAAGCCCAATACAGGTAGACAGTTTCATTCACTTTTTATCTAATCACCTTGGAGTCTACCAAAATGTCAGTTTTTCTACAGTGTTCCTAAGATGTCTGGCAAGATTTGTGACTCTGAATTTATTGACTTATGAATTGAAACACATTCGCTCTATTGCACACAGAAACTTGCAATCTTCTGTGTTTGTTGGATCGTTGTTTTAAAAGGGCTAAAAATCCTTTTCATTCCTCCCCAAACCAGATGTTCCTACACTTAAGAATATTTTGACTTGCCCTATCGTGAATGAATTTGTCCCGTTAGTTCGTCCTCAAGCTTGGAATATTAATGTTTCTGTTTTTGGCAAGACTCAACCATTACCAATATGTTAATATGAATAGCCTATGTTTGAATATAAATGGAAGTGTTTATTGTATTCCATGTAGCAATGTAATTGTAATTATAGGTCAGACAGGAAAAACTCTGCAGCTCAGAATCAAACAAATAAGTATAATATCAGAACTGCATCTGAAAGCAGTGCCTTGTCTGCTCATGTTAGAATAATAATCACCCCATTGCTTGGGGAAAAAAAAGCTAGAAGTATTCAAATCATCTTGTGTCACAGAAAGACTCTGGTTGAAATAGTTTGATTTTTCATGAATTAAAAATCAATAAAACCTTAGTGATGGTCAGTTCAAAAACTGATAATATGTTACATAAATCATATTATATATATATATATATATATATATATATATATATATATATATATATAATGGATGCCTTTCACTTTTTTATGAGGGAATTCTTTTACTTTCAGAGTAAGGTAATCCGAGTATTGAACTTGTGGCAGAAGAACCAGGTATTTGCAGAAGATGTTATACAGCCTCTGTTTGATTTGGCTGATCCTAACCATCCCATTCAGAAGGAAGTGGGTAACCAGATAGCCCAGAAGGCATCTAAAGCTAAGGTTCAGCAACATCCTGGCCAGGAGCCTCAACAAGGCACCCCAGGATCAGGTGTGGGAGGAGGTGGTGGCAGACATGATGGAAGAGGAGACAGTCAAATGAACAACAATTCAGCTAGCATGCCTCAACAGGTGGATGATGAGTGCAAACTCGTACATTTAGTGAACCAACAGGTAGTTAGTGGTTTGTCTTTCTTCTTTTAACACTGGTTATCTTGGTAGCTTTACTGCTCTTATTGCCATTAGTTATTTGCTCATTTTTTACTGCATTGTTTTGGCTGTTGACTTTTAGATTTAAGTATTATTGAAAATAATTGTGAACTTTGTATAATCCTCCTTTTCCAAAAATCCAATGAGAAAGCATGACAATGAGTATTTTTTAATATCTCTTACTGAGCATATTAATCCAGGCTGTAACCATCACACTCATCTGTAGGTAACTTCTCACTTGTACAGTGAAGCTTCCCCTGGTTTTATTTTAGACCTCACTTAGTGTGAAGTACCTCACCTTCACCCACAGACTGTGTGTAAAGTTCAGGTGTCCCTCAGCTTTTCCCTCACAATAGACCAGGTAATGGTGAAATAGCCAGTGGTTAACCATTAACCTCAAGTATTACTCAACATAATTCCATCTTCACTAATGATGCTTGAAGTACGTCTGGCAACTATCACGCAGGTCGATCTCAGCTGATTTCTCCTTCTCTTGTGATTGGTTGATGATTTTGTTAACTGAGCGACGATTGGCCAACTAACTCCTGACAAGACAAATGAATTTACAGGGTAAACAGAGTTACGGACTGCTTACGGGACTGTAATTAAATTTTGAGTATGAGAAATTTACGGGACTGTAAGGAGTCTGTAAGTTACGGTACTGTATCTCTACTACTATACGTAACTGATGAGGTGTTTTGAGTATGCGGCCCCAGTACAGTACACCCATCTAAGACAACTTCGGTCAGTCACGTGTAATAGGTGCCACCAATGACATCACCTCCCACAGATGGTTATATAGATGCATTCCCACCAGCTACCCCCATCCAAACACTCACTCTCAGTACATCACAGCCACAAACACAAATATGTTGTACAGTATCACAATTCAACACAATGGTATTCAATACAAAGGATTAAAACTCTGCAGTTTATCTTATCATTGTAGGTATCTTATCTACAATGCCTCCTAACAGAAGAGCATCCTGGCTCCCTCTTTCCCTTATCCCACCCCCCAGCTATCTCTAATGGATTGTTCCACCTTTCCCTTCCATGATGTAGGATTTCTACCTTACATATTGCTCTTATACTGTACATCTTCTCCACCTGCATACCTCTCTCTCACAGGTTCACACCACATCATCAAGTCTAGACTCTTTATTCCACCTCTTAATGGTTTATACACCTTGCCTTCTCTGTCATTCCAAGCACCACAACAACTTTGCCAGATGCCACCCTCATGTAACTCAGTTCTCTGGCTTGAATTTTAGAGCCATCTTCGTTTTAGTAACTGCAGTAATCACTTCATATAATGGAATAAAACATGCAGGCTGATTCCACTAAATCAAATACTGTACAGTTATACCTCTGGCAATTAAGTGGATAGGTTCATGAAATCAACTTTGTTATATGAAATATTGTTGTCGGAGTTAGATTTAGTAGGATAGATTCCAGTCCTTCATTAAGCAACTCTGATCTGTTGGAGGAATTTATTATGTTAAGAGAGTAAGAGCATTTGTGGAATGTACGCATAAATTCTCCGATTATTATGTAGATTTTTTTATATACGGTGTTCTATGTACTGTACCTATACTGTATAGGAAAAGCCCTACCTATACTTTACTGTATTGTAAAGGAACTTGAAATATAATAAAATAAAATGTAAAGACGTTTCCAAATGATCGAAGGAAAATATATATTGTACACAGAAACCACTTTGCTGTTGGAACTTACTTATCAAAGGTAAATTATTTAATGTGGAGTAAATGGGAATGGGTTCCAGTCTTTCATTATTCAGTATTTTGTTCACGCCAAACACGAACCAAAACTGTTACAGTAAACAATAAAAAGTATACATGGCACATTATAAAATACAATGGCATATACAGTACAGTATTTTAGGTACAAAAAATACCTTCTTCCACTCTCAAACCACCTTCTGGGTGACACTGAGAGTGGGCAACAGTTTAACCAGTCGGTCAGAGATGTGTGTATCTGCCACACTGTGTGCCGTGACATCACATTGGGGGGATGCAGGCGACTGGGCTGTAATAACCTGAGCCGTTGATGGTCAGCTAATCCACGGAAGCAGGCAGTGACGACCAACCATACAGTTATTATAATAGAAAAATAGTTATTTTGAGCCTAGGTGCTTGCCACGTGCGCATGTTTAAAATGAAATAGGCTTAATTAGCTAAGTCGCCAGACGCACTATGACAAAATGCCCATTGCCTCCTCATGCAGTGATATCCCCGATAGCTGGAATAATTGGTGCAGAGTTGTGCCTGGTCAAAGCATGGTAAAGAGGATGAAGCCTCAACTCAGATGACCATTATCCTGTAGTCACTTTTAAGGAGACAATATAAGATACAGTATCAGACTTTTAGGAAACTTAATATCCAACATATGTTTGTATTTTTACTTTCTTACATAGAAGCTTTTTTCACTTTTCTTTAACAGATTGATATCTTGGCTTTTTTTCTGCTAAGTATTTGGTGGCTGGAAGCAAATGATGTGTTGTGCTATAGTCCTCCCTCCATAATGCCTCAAACAGGTTTTCCTTTTACTTGACTAGAACCAGCATCACTCCAGAGCAGCACATCTTTATCCAGAAATCACTGTGTCACGTTCTCCGTTCTTTCACACACACACACACACATTCATCTGCCTCACAACTATCCGGTCTGTAACAATATTTTGCTTCTCTTTTTCTACACCTGAGGCGATACAATATGTTCAATTATAACACACAACACTTTTTTTTTTACATCAGACTCTACATCAACATTCTTAATGTATAACAGGTAGTTCTGCTATAACGCGATAATTGTGTTCTTGTAAAATATCGTGTTATAGAAAATCGCGTAATAGAAATAACAGGGCTTATGGAGAAAATAGGGTTAGGTGCAGATTACTCGAAATCGAAAAAATTTAGTAGTTAGCCTAACACAAAGGATAGCACAGTCTAAATAAATGTTACATTCATATCTAATAATGAAATCATACAGTAAATTTAACACTTTACCTTGAAAAAATATGAATGTAACTTGATGGGGAGAAGGATTTTGAGGTTGATAACATGAGCTTTCTCAAGTGTTATATCCTTCTTTTACGATAATCACCGAATTCTATCATCAGAACGCTTTTTGGAGATATTCTTCTTTACCATATTCACAGTTAATACCACAAAATTGGAGAAATAGTAAGCCAAAATCGCGATAGCAAACAAGCGTCAAGCGATACAAATATTGTTCCGAATTCATAAATCGCGTTAGAGCAAATTCGCGTTATCAAAACACGCGTTATAGCAGAACTCACTGTATTAGTAAATTTCACCTGTGGACACTGCTGTGTGAGAGTGAAGCATTTTATAATTTTTGCTTACTTTTGGTGATAAAGTATTTGTTCTTGCAGTAGATTTTACTTGCATGCAATACTTTATCAGTTCATATTGTATGGGATGCAGATTGATGTACTGTACAGTTATATTTGACCAGATTCTTCATTTTTCTGTACAGTTATATACAGTATATTAATGATATTGTACTTCCTGTCATTGTGGTGTTGATAGTCTATAATAAAATGATAATCTTTGTGATATAAATCATTATAACTAAAAATAATTGTTTTGAAACAGCACCCTGTGCCAGTAACAAGCGTGTCCAATCAGGTGATGAGTGCCGCAGTCACCAACCTTGATCCAAGCCTCATCCAGCAAATCCAGCAGATTCTCATGAAGCAGCCTACACAAGATGATGGTTCTGGAATGAGTGCAGCTGCTGCTGCAGCAGCAGCAAAGCGTATGGTACCACCAGTCCCTGATGAGGTGAAAGGGCAAGGCATTCCTGGACTCACAAACACAGGTTGGTTTTAGGACCTTTGGGGCCATCAACAAATGACTTGCAAAATCCACTTAACATTCTCACCCAAATTTTGTCTGATTTCATATTAACAACAGTCGTAAATTTTGCCTCCTGATTGATTCCTGCCAACTGTTATAATATCTAAAGCTCTTACCTTAAATTATCATATCCACTTGCATACTGAGGAGTAGTACAGTAACAGATGTGAAGATAAATTATTGCTCGGAGGTAGACGGGAGACTCGGATTATTTTAAGTTTCTCATCAAAAGTGTTGGCATTCATTTTCTTCTTAACCCTTAAGCCCCGGGTTAGGGTGCTGCTGGCATTACACCCCCCCCCCTCCTGCGGGGTGATAAATTGGGGAAAAATCGACTTGACCAAAAATAATAATAATAATAATAATAAAAAAAAGGCAGGAAAATAGGTGGACATTCTGGAACAATACCCAGAGCCTAAGGGTTAATATTACTCTTTTGTACAGCCTCCCTGGAGATTATGTAATGTGTGCACACAAATTTTCCAACCAAAACATTTTATTAAGAAGAATTGTCTGTGGAGGACTTAGTTGAGGAGACAGAGAGGAAGCGGAGCTAGAGTATATTGTTATGAGAGCAGCTCCAGCTGATGAGGAAGAGGCTTGCTGGTGTGTTTATGCTCGCTGGTCAATTGATAAAATGTGTTCTAAACCTGAAGCAAAGTTTACAGTCGCTATCTGTCATGCTAACCTCAGGGCTGGTTACAGAGAGAAAAAGTGCACAAGGCACTCCACCAAAACAGGTTTTCAAGGCCGCGTCTCCTCACATGGCCCCTCTTTGAATTTTTTCTTCCAGCTTTAACTTATTTTGGAAGTTGGCAGTGCACATGTTTTACAAATGTTTAACATGGATGAGAATTTAATAGTTGATAACTTTCACTCTTAGTTGTAAATACAGTAAAACCACCTTTATATTTTTATTACTGTTCCTTTACAGGAGATTATGATGGTCGATCACTTCCATTTCTTGCTGTGGATACATCGCAGCCTCCCCCAGGCTACCTGCCTCCAGGTCCATTCATGGGTGGCATGCCTCCAACTCCCATGGCAGTTCCTCCTCCTGCTCTAGATTACACGCAAGTCCATCCTCCACCAGATAAGCCCAAGAGTCCGCGAGAAGAAGGAGAACACTCGGATGACAGCGATGACGTAAAAGAGATGTAGGTATATGTTATTTTACCCTTATAAGATGTGTCAGGTCAGGACAGTACTGTACTGGGTAAGAAGAGAAGTCGATGGCTAGAGACAGACAACCTACCTGTATACAGTAATAATTGAACCGAGATGAACTTGAGTCCCTTAAGACGCTAGCATCTATGGAAAGCTTTTGAGTGTTAATCATGAGTTTCTACATAGGAATAGCAGACTTAGAGAAACAATGATGTCATGAGTCACTGGTTTCTAATAGATGTTTGATAGTGCAGGGTTGTTGAGTCTGGCCGTTATTGATTGTGTAGTCAAATTAAAACAAATGAAGAGGAAACAATGAAAATTAGTTATTCTCAGCAAAGACATGTACACATGTACAGTAGTTAGAATTACTTTTGAAAAATCTTAACATGTCACTGGTTGACGTCAGACCGGAGGGCCACCTTGTGTGTGCGCTTACATTAACAACCCTAGTTGTATATTGTCTACAACCATTCAATATATATATATATATACATACATACATACATACATACATACACACACAGCTCCTCCCGATTCACTTACGACCACCCGGACATACGACCGCCTCAGTCGTACCAAAATTTTGTCAAATTACTAATATTCGAGTCCCATCGTCAGTGATTGCGCTGTGTACTGACAAAATTTTTGTTTGTAATTCACTTTAAAATGGCTGGCAAGCTTAAAAGTGAGAGTTTTGTGGTGCTGAGAAGAAAAAGAGACACCCATTTTTTATTTTCTATGCATTATTTAAGCATTTTCGATTTACGACCATTTCGACTTACTAACCTGGCTTTTGTCCTTAACCCCGTCGTAAGTCGGGGAGGAGCTGTATATGAATTGGGCAGGGAATGCTGGCAAGAAACCTATCACTAATACCTTCTGTATAATGATGGTGGGCTAGCCAAAATTTACTATTGCCACCATTAAATTTTATACACTAATATAAATTTTGCTCCATGATTGTGTAACTTCCCTGCTTTTGAAAGTTTCCTGGTGCAATTTTAAGACACCTTTTGTTAAATAATGTGCTCTATCCTCACCAGTGATGGATTGTGCTCTGTGGTTGACTTGTTTGTGAATTGTGAATCAATGTACAAAATGACTACCTGTGGTGTAATGATCAGCATACTATACCTGCCTTGCACTCAGGCAGGGTAAAAGTATTGCCATGTTTCTTTATTCCTTTTACATCTGTTTACTCAGCAGTAATTGAGGACCCAGTTTTAATTGATCTGGGACAGGACTTTCTGATTTAAAAAAATTCCTTAATGATTCATATGTTTTCTTATCCCCAGTCATCACGAGGATCGTGATTCTGACAGACGCCGTCGCAGCCGGTCTCGTTCTAGAAGCCGATCACGACGTAGAAGACGTACCCGGTCAAGGTCGCGATCCAGATCCAGATCCAGACATCGAAGGTCACGATCACGTTCCAGGGGTCGTGAGGTCGTCCTCTAGGTCACGCAGGAGGAGGTCAGCTGTTGTGGTGCTTTATGTCTGCATATTTCTGTCTTTCTCTTGTAGCTCTTCCTGACTTGTCTGCCTTTTTCCATATTGTGACATGTACAGTACGGTATGTTGTTACGATTACTCTGCTGCTGTTCCTCATTGTTGTCTTTGTTACCTGTCATTTTGTTCAAGAATCTCTACTCTCCTCATCTGGTAAATCATATCATAAGGCCTGTCTGTGAATGAAAATTTTCTGAAATTAGAGAGTGGTCTCCACAGGAGCCTCTTTCTTTTGGACACATTATGGTTCACCTGTCTCATGCATATTCATAAGCAGTCAGTGCCATCGTTACTGTTTAAAGAAAACTAAAGGTGCAAGTAAATTATTAATCAATGTCTTAAAAAAGCAGATTTTCCAAAGTCTTTTCCTGCTTAACCAAACCTATAGAAAAATCTTGCATCTGAAAGAAGGTTGTTGATGTGGTCGTACAGTATGTTGTTTGAAATTCATATGGTTCCATTATTTTTCATTTAATATACATGAAAAAAATTATTTGCTACTATGACAAACTAAATTACTGTTGGCTCACAGAAACACTTGTCACCCAGTGATAGCAAATTCGTATGTATAGTCTGTTCACTGGAACTTTACAGGCATAGAGCTGTTTGTTAGAGGACAGCTGATTGACTGACAAGAAACACACAAAGGGTCACTCAACATAAATAGAGGAATTACTGTATTTTTTAGAACTCATTTTAAGTGAGAAGTTACAAAACCTTTTATATCTGCACTGTATGATTTTGGTTTCTTAAGTCGACATGCCCCAGGAGCTGCTGCTGTGTGGTGAACTGAGTTATTAATATCCTCTGTATGGATTAGGATACATTTAACTGTTTATTTGCTTGAAGCAAGGATTGCATGTGATACTTGGGTACTCCTAACATTAATGGATGTCTGATTGGATTTGGGTAAGTGAAGTTTGTTTGTCCTATTGTTCTCAAAGTCTTATTGTGTTGGCTATTTTCATTTTACTGCCTGGTGCTTGTGCAACTGAACCTCCTCGTCATATTTTAGTATATTTTTTATTTATATTTTATTTAATTCAGTTAACATTAGTACAAGAGTGTAGGCCGCATTTTGTGACTAAATTATGTCTTCTATTTCAAACAGATCTCGCTCAAGAGAAAGAGACAGAGACAGAGAACGAGACAGAAGAGATCGCGATAGAGACAGAGACCGCTGAGAACGCGACAAAGAGCGGGAGAAAGAGAAACTCGACCCAGAAAAAGAGCGAGTAAGAGAGAAGGAGCGAGAGAAAGAGAAAGAGAGGAAGAAGAGAGGACTACCACCTGTTAAGAAGGAGTATCTCAGTGTTTGTTCCACAACACTTTGGGTCGGCCACTTATCAAAGGTAAGAACTATGCAGTGAAACCTCCATCTAATGAACTATATAGAGAGAGAGGAAAGTCCATTATATCGAGGGTCTGTTAGATGTGAAACCTCCATGTAATGAACTGTATAGAGAGAGAGGAAAGTCCATTATATCGAGGGTCTGTTAGATGTGAAACCTCCATCTAATGAACTGTGTAGAGAGAGAGGAAAGTCCATTATATCGAGGGTCTGTTAGATGTGAAACCTCCATCTAATGAACTGTATAGAGAGAGAGGAAAGTCCATTATATCGAGGGTCTGTTAGATGTGAAACCTCCATCTAATGAACTGTATAGAGATAGAAAAGTCCATTATATCGAGGGTCTGTTAGATGTGAAACCTACTCTAATGAACTATACTATATAGAGAGAGGAAAGTCCATTATATTGAGGGTCTGTTAGGTGTGAAACCTCCAGGATGTCCAGGACGATAGTTCTACATGGGAAAATGACGAAAATAAGACCCTGGTTGTAGCTGTAGTAAAATTAATGTAAAAAAATGAATATATATGTTTTAAGTAATGTTATTTAATGTTAATAAATGGAACAATAGAAGTAGCTAACCACTAATGGTAAAGAAAAAAAAGAGATGGATTAAACACCAATATACGTGAACATTTAGGATACTCCTCATTTATCTTAAGAATATGGACAAAAGATTCATTATTGTTTATTACTGAATATGTATTTGATTGAATTAATCTTTATATATGTGAAATGAACAATGCAATTCATTAATAACACGTAGAATATTAAAACACACACGAGGAGACAAGATGGCATTGTTAGTGGAGTGATGATGGTTCTACATAAGAAACTGAAGAAAATAAGACCCTCGTTGTAGTGTAGTGAACTTAATGTAAAAAAAATGAATAACGTTATGTATGTTTTAAGTAATGTTATTTAATGTTAATAAATGGAACACTAGGAGTAGCTAACCACTAATGGTAAAGAAATAAGCGAGACGATTGGGAACGCCAACGTATGAACTTTGCTGCCACCTTATGAACTGGCCTTTAACCATTGATTCCTTCTGGGTTAATGAGGATGGAACATGTAAAATTATATAGGGTTTTAGTAGCCAAACCCAATTGTCTGTTATCTATTTATTGAGGAACTATCTCATATACAGTTCTAAGTGTATCTCACCAGAACTTAATCGCGGAGGCTCTATTAAGAGCTCTTCTAAATACGTCCGGTTGGTGTGAGGTGTTGAGTGACAATCTGCAAGCAACCGGCTTTTAAATGCTGACCTTAACAGTCTTAGTTCTTATGCCCAAGGAACTTACCCATCACGTGAATTGACCATGTCACTTAATAGCCAGTGGAAAGTTACAGGGGGTGATATGATTATATAAACCTAATGTACTGCCCTGACATTTCTATAGGAACTAAGGGGTAAATACATTGCTCGGTCACCACCTTCCGAGCTTTCACAAGGAATAAACTAGTCTCGTAGAATACATCCTATACATAAACCTAACCTTGTTACAAACATATGTGTAGACACTAAGCTGGGGACTCTGGAACCATAGGTTCATCAACTACTGGGGTCCTAGACTTAAGTGTCTTACGGGCTAGTATAGTATGTACAATGTTCAACTTGGAAGACACTGACTTATAATAACAAAACAAAAATATCACTGCCAGAAATAACACAATAGTGGGAATGGTTAAACGCGGTATTGTAAATCCCTCAGCAAAATAAAATGGCAGATGAACATCTAAATGAGTAAACTGTGACTCTTTCAAGTAAGAAATAACTTTCAACTTTTCTGAGACAGTATTAAGCTCACCAATAGTTAAATTAAGGACTTGAAACAAAGGAATTAAATCTGAAGTAAGATTTAAATTCGAAAATGCTGATGAGAAGGCAAGGTCTTCAACGAACTACAAGTTATCTCACAATAATCCGGAGCCTTATAATAACCTTTCACAACTAACTGTTTACCACCATCATGACACTTTAAAATTACATTAGTTTCATCAGGAAAGAAAAAATATTGCACATTATGCAGATGCGCATGAAACACAGTTTTCCTAGTAATTGGCCTATAACTACATTTTTGTGTTATTAGCGCTGTTTGTTTGACTGCCAGTTCACATATCCCTTTCGCAGCAGGAATAAATGCGAATATATAGGCTGGACATAACGGTAAATGTAAATATGACGATTTACACCATGATAATACCCGAGGATCATCCAATGCTAACAAGGTATATTCTTCATCTATTAGCAGAAGTTCTTTTGGTCTATCCAGAGTATACATTGCATCATTAACATACAAAGGGAAGGGTTCCAAATGCTATGCAATAAATTTATGTTGCCCTCGCATAGGTATGTGGATAAGAATAGCATTGTGCGTGAGAGTCGACTCCAACAGAGGGTAATAATATTTTACTTCATGATCTCTGAAAATTGGAGTTAAATGATAAGTCAACTTATTATTTGTAATGCTTCAAGAGTCTTCACAGGCACAAGCTTTGCATCCACTCGTCCTAACCCTGCATCCACGATGCTGGCGATTAGTTCATTTTTATTAGTAATTATATCTTGAACTGAACTTTCTGCAGCATGCAAATACTCAGAAAAATAAAGGAGCCACTCCAATGTAGGGACTGAATTCATCAACTTAGACGCAGAAATGATCGCTTTAACTTTCGATTCTAAAGCACTAATGGCATGAAAAATTTGAGTAATAACACGATTTTGTTTAGAAACAGCTTGATCGACAATGTTCACGCGGTCTCCTAGATTAGTTACATCCTCGGCAGTCGCCAGCCAAATAGAGTGCTTTGTATAAAGACCCACAAAATTAAACAATCCTCGCTTTCTGTGAGGCATTTTGCAAGATCATCCTGAGACGCTGGAATAGTGTTTCCGACAGCGACGAGAAGCGTGAAGAGGTCTGACGAAGCAGCTGAAGCTCAACAGTTTTGAAACCATCCCGAAATGTTTTGGAGTCGCACGGAGATCATCAGGGCCGTCAAGCTGTCTGCAGTTGAGCTGCAATGGTTTCCATCTGGTGTGGAAGCTTGAGCAGTCCCGGCAACTCATATTTTATGTTCACCACGTCTCAACAATGAGAACGGGCCTGGGGTGCAAATAAGCAAGACCTGGCTTAAGGACAAGGTGGACATGTCCCACAACACAACGGTGCCCCAAAGCAGTAGGAGCAGCACACTGATGATCCAAGCCATTCTGTAAAAGTTTTAATGTATTTTAATATTTGTTTGCAGAACGAAATTTCAAATGATACTCATTAGGTACACTCTGCTTCTGTACTGTTTGAAAAGATGTGTCTATAACATCATTAACATTCTTGGGTAGTAAATCCTTATGGCCCTTTTTGAGACGGTCCGCATGCACTACATCTGCGGTTTGTGCGTTAGGCTTCCAAATTTTAAACTTGTTGCCTGCTTCTTCGGCGATAGTGTGGAATGGACCAGAAAATTTGGCTGGAAGCTTAGAGTTCCTGTCAGGTTCTCTCATCATAACAGCATCGCTTATTTCTAACACGACTGGCTTAGCTTGCTTATGTTGCTTAAAAATCATTTCAGCGTGACGCTGCTAAATGATTCCGTACTTGGCCATGAATATCTGTAAAAACGCTGATCTGTTTTGTCGTGAAATCATAAGACAGACATTTGTCTATGCCATAAACAATATAGTCGGGTGATTTGCCGGTAGAGCTATTACTCGACCCATTAATAGATGCTGCAACTTGTGGTAACCAATCCTCCTATGTGTATTGCATATCACACACTATTGGGCGAAGTATCTCTAGGATCTTGTGATTGACTCTCTCGACAAGGCCATTAGCCTGTGGATGATAGGCTGTAATAAAACTTTGTTGTATTTCATATTGTACACAAATTTGTGCTACTAGCTGATTCCTGAACTCCAATCCATTGTCGGAGAGAAGAACCTAGCGTAGTAAAAGGACATATAAGAGTCATCACTCAGGCATAGGCCACAGATTCGGCTGTTTTATCCTTCACTGGGACTAAAATTACAAATCCAGAAAATGATCCACACACACTAGGACGTATTGAGGATCCCTGATGACTCCTCGGGAGTTGTAACAAGTCTATCGCGACTGTGTCAAACGGACGTTCTGGTGTAGGATATTGTAGAATTGGAGCCGGTGACCTTGTACTGTAATACCCTTATGTTGAGCAAATGACAAACACTTAGCAATATGCAATTCTATGTCTTCATAGTATTCCCCAAATATTTTTTTTCTAATGTCCGCAAGGCATTTGTCACGTCCTAGACCTGCTTAAGGAACATCGTGGAACAACATTATAATAGTTTCACACAATGTGTCAGGTACGACTATTTGTGTAACTACAGTACAGTGGTCCCTCGATTAACGAACGCCTCTGCTAACGAAATTTCGGTTAACGAATTACCTTCCATAAGAATCTTCAACTCTGTAAACGAAAAAAATTCGATTAGCGAAATCCTTACGAAAATCACATTTTGTTTTGAACATAAGCTGAGGAGGTACTCAGCCAATTCAGTGATTTTCAAATTAATCACTATCTTAAAAGAGTCACTTCTTGGACATCTAAAATCCCTCCACCACAGGCGCCAATTGTCAAACATGTCACTGTCCCTCCCTCCCTCCCTCCCACCTTCCTGAGAAAAAGACTTAGGTTTACAGGTTTAAAAATAAATATAACCTCAGACTAAAGTTAGGATAATATAATTTGCATTGCTGAAATCCTTGCAAGACAGGGAATAATTTGAATATAAATGTCATATATTTTAACAAAAGATAAAATTTTGCTCTCCCTAACAAAATTCATAAATTAGATCTAAAATTATTATGTCTAATGCTTGTTTATATTCAAGTTAATCACTATCTTATAAGAATTCCTGCAATGTTAATTATAATCTGGCTTTACTTTGTATATACTTTTCTGTGAGCTGGAACCAATTAACCAATGTCCCATTGAAACAATGGTTTCGGTTA